GAAATTTCGCTAAAAAAAAGACAACTATATTAACCCATATCAACGTAGGCCTACACGATGCTCAGTGTAAACATGTAGTAAATATCATCCTATAAATATAAACATATTTGTTCTTAATTAATTTTTTGTGACCGAACGAAAGAATATTTTTGAAAACTTTCTTCGGCAATATTGTTCTAAATTTTGGCAGAAATCGATTGTTAAATGTTTCAAGTCGCTAAGTGGTCTGGTTGCCGAGATATGGGCAAAAAACTGCATTTTTCGAGTTGTTTTGGCTTTTCCGGGAAATTCAGGAAGGAATTCCGGGAATTTGTTTGGCCCACAATCATCCTCGGAACTTGCTTAACATATTTGCTTTGGAACTAGTCCTCGATATTGCTTCGTTGAGGAGGAGATACGACTTAAAGCTGCGGACACACATCCATACATCCATAAATTCATCCATCCAGAAATGACGCATTATTAAACGCAATTGCCAGTATGGAAATTGCGCTAAAAATAAGTAATCACCAAGGCAAATAGCACAAACATGAAAACCATATAAACAAAATAACTCAATTTTTAAACACAATACCATTATTTGTTTTCATTAAATTAATACATGTCTTGTATCCATTCATGCTTTAGATTCACAAAATGTGAATGGTGCGAATGTTGTCAGTGTTTCTAGTGGTGTCACTTTATCTGTGGTGACTTTAATAAGCGTTTCCGTTTTTATCATCCAGTACTTGGGTAAATACTCATTTTTTTCTGTATTTACAAATATTCAAGTAGTTATTAATAGTAATAGTAGCCTACACAACAAACACGTTTATATCAGTACAAACTGATATAGTGTTTGCTTTAATTATTACAATCATAATTTTATTTTACAAATGTCATATTTTTCAATACAAAGCGAGAAACAGACATAACTCAGCAGACTACGTGTAAGTATGTTACCAAGTATATTAACAAGCTAGAATATATTATAAATACGATTATTAGAAATAAATGCATGCAATCGTTTATAACTTATAATAGTGTATTATACTATTATACAGAAACCTGTTAGGACTAACTGTTGAACAAGGTATAGTTATTTATTATTTGTTTTAAATAAACCATCACTTTAATTCGTTTAAATCGTTTTAAACAATGTAAACAATGTGAAACTAATATGAAATGTATTTGTTATTAAATTATAAAACGTGCTCTTAGCTAATTTACTTTTAAATCGTTTTTAAACAATGTAAACAATGTTAAACTAATATAAAACATATTTTTTATTAAATTATAAAAACCTGCTTTTAGCTTATTTACTTTTATTATGAAGTACAGAGAAATGTTTACTTATTTCCTTTAGAATGCTGCAACGAGGATGTATATGTATTTGAAATAAATAACGACTACGGTAATATCAATTTATAATGAGTTAAGCTTAACTTAAAAAGTAAGCCGAACATTACACAATTTTTTGCACTGTTTTTTACAGACATTTGTTAAATAGTTATAGCAAGTTACGTAGGCTACGTATCTTATATGGCTAGATATGTATAAATAATATATTTTTTATTCCCAGATGTGATAGGGACTCCCGTATATCAACGTGCAGCAAACAATGCAACACTTCAGTGCAAGGCAACGCAAACGTTGGACGACTTAAGAGCGATTCTTTAAGATGTAATATATTAAACAGAGATATAAATACAAAATTTGCTCATATTCTAGACGCACTTTAATGAGCAAATAATGAGATTTAAATATTGCATCATGAAATTTAAAATCTCCTTCCCGATCACAATGAAATGCTAAAGAATTTTTTACATGGAATTAGCGTACCCATCAGGGTAACAACATTTTTTAATGGTTTCATCAACGCGTCATTAATTGAGTATTTTTAGACATGTGACCTTCTTTTCTAAAACTGAAACAGTTAAAATGTAAACGACACCGGTGTTATATTCCTCGGATTTGTGTTGCTGGGACTCGGATTTTTCTTTACTACCGCTCAAACGCTTCAGGCCGTGCTTTATAAAAAAAACTTTACGTTAATCACTTTCCGTAATAGTGAGGTAGAACATCGATCGGCTACCGCCCAGGTGGCACGAGTGCGCCGGTCACCCTACCGTATGTAGCCGGATGAAAACCCCTAGTTATGTTTATTTATAGAATGTAGAGACCCACCGTGTCACTAGTGTAGGGTGCTCTTGTGCTTTGTGTCATCCGTACACCGGTGGCGTTGGGGGGCACCCCTGTTGCAGTTTGATTGATGAATCAAGTAGAATACCCAATCAACGGACCCCGTGCAAGCAGGTAGCCACTGGGTAATTCGGGGCACCCAACCGTTACATCTACCGAGGCGCTAGACGACACTAGTTATTCTATTTAGTAATTGATTTCTCTAGCCCTTCGTATCCCTAGTGTGTGCGTTAATAAAAAAAATGTAGCGGAGAGCTCGATGTGCACTGGGTCACATTACCACCGGGGCGCCGAATGATACACCTGTGCGGTTACGTTTTTCAAGTAGTATCCATAATCGCAGTGCAGGGCGCCCAATCAACGTACTCCAGGTGTAAAAATAGCCATTAGGGAACTTAGTAGCCCTCCAAAATGAAATGAAAATGTTATGACAGAAACTATCCGATGAGTTAAAGTTTCTTTCTCTCTTAAGATAACTGTCTGAAAAAAATAATATAGCCAGGTGTATCCTCAACGACTTCCCAAAGTTTCTTGGCGATTGGATAATTTGTGTCTAAATGAATTAAGGCCAGTCAAAACAAAATTCTCATAGCGGTAGTAGATCAATATTGATTAAAGATCAATTAAAAAAATGTCATTAAGGTTAAAACTAGTAGAAACACATTGACAGGTGTAGGACTTAGCTCGTTGTGAAAACATTGTCCACACCTGTTATAAGAAAAAAAATGTAGTCATGGATATTTAGTGAGATGGAACGTTTTGGAAAAGGCGGACAGGAGGTAGATACAGGGGTGTGGGGGTGAGGGGTAGGGAATTTGTCAGTCAGTTGATGTTTGTAGTGGTGCATATTAACTTTATGCCTAAGGTTGTATCTCACAAAAGGGTACAAGTTCAAGTTTATTACTACGCTAACTATCTTAATTGCATGCACGACAATGAATCAATGCCTGGAATGTTATTAATGCCGGTAGGCTTTGTTTGATAACATTCGTCTTCCCACTGAATGCCACTCCCTGTACATTATAAAATGAAATAAAATAGTTAATTTTCAATATTTCTACACCCGGAAAAAACTAGAATTACAATGTCTTTTTAGTTTCTCGTATATGAAGTATATAGAAGGTATCTTGCAATCTTGCAAAAACTCGAAATCGAGATTTCACAAATATCGAAAAGTTTAGTTTTGCCTTTTTGTCCTTATGTCTGTATATATATATATATATATATATATATATATATATATATATATATATATATATATATATATATATATATATATATATATATATATATATGTGTGTGTGTGTGTGTGTGTATGTGTGTGTATTACACTTGGCTTAGTATGTGTTTTGGACTTGTTTTAGCGAGGTGTAACAATAGTAAATAAAACATAATCCACAAAGTAAATCAATATCATGTACTTGTAATTTTCACCAACTACAAGACAAAAATATGAAAAGAAAACTGACGATTTATAACACTGTGTTGACATTCACCAACCTCTCCACACACTCTCGCGTTTACACACTTCCGCTCACTAACACACCACTTTCTAGGGGGGGAGGTACTCTTACGCTATTTCTCTCTCTCTCTCCGTCCCTACACTTTTCATTTTAGACAACCACGTCACAATGTGTGTATGTGTGTCTGTGAACACGAAAACTGTTTATGAAATTTCATATATAAGTAATATATCAAATTTCCGGTAATAGAAAGTGGAACTTGTTTTTTTTCAAAAGCCCATAACTTGAGTTTTGTTTCAGATAAAAAGACGAAATTTCACATATACGTAAAAGATGTAATCATCTGCTTTCAATCAATTTCTGAGTAATTTGCGTTTATTGGAAGTAGTACTTTATACTATTTCCAATTTCTCAAAAAACAGTGTTTTCTGTTCCCTTTGTGAGTGATTATTTTACGTTATTCTATTCAATTTTAAAAAGTTAAAGGAATTAAAAACTGATTGAAAATCATGTCTATAACCCGAGTTGCCATCCCCCGTAGTTTTATAAATGTTTGCTCGAGAATGTTTAGGGGAGATCAATCCCTCTTAATTTAAATTATTTATATAAATTTAATATTAAAATTCCAATGTAAACGTTTTAATGAGGAAGAAGCCCCTTAATGTGGGCCACTATACCCTGCCTATGCAAGCTTTACGGTATTTAGGCCGCTGATAATATCATGATCCAAGCATGTACGTCATAACTGCCCTTTAATTTATGGGCGTTTTAATCTCTCACTCGTATAAAAACAGATAACGTGTTTTGATAAATCTGTTTCTGAATTAGATTTAATGATGACGGAAGATAGTCCTGGTGAAATTTATACAGACATACTGATAAACACATGCACTTTGTCTCTCTCTCTCTCTCTCTCTCTCTCTCTATATATATATATATATATATATATATATATATATATATATATATATAAATATATATATATATATATATATATACATATATATATATATATACATATATATATATATATATATATATATATATATATATATATATATATATATATATATATATAGGGCCTATATATATATAAACTATATTAAGTGAATATATGATTTTTACATTTTCAACAAACATTACGTATTCCAGCATATAGCTCTACTAATACTTTTTACAATTAGCTTTCAATTTAAGTCACCATAGTTTGAAACTGCGTTGTTCTTACAATTTTTTTTCTAGTATTGCTGATTTAATTTGAGTTTGCAAAAATAATCAAATACGACGACATTGATCGACGCTATATGTGTTTTGAGTTAAAATATGTAACGTAGGTAAGATGTTGTAAATACTAACCTTTGACTTCATTGTGCTTTCGGTTTCTGCCGTGGTGTACTGTAATAAATATTGATATCTTGAACTGAGCATTCGATGTTTGCAATGTTTTGTTATCTGTATGTAATTTTATCAACGTGCTCTTTATGATAGTTAGTAAAAACAAATTATATATCAGTATCAAAATAATGATAATTTATAATCAAACACGTTTATTAGGAATGTTTATGGGAGATAGTACACGCTTTATTTTTTATTCGTATTTTTAATTTAAAATGTATTTAATTTATAAATCACATATTTTCTACATAAAACTGATAACACAGAAAATAAAGAAATACTTTGAGAGTAAGGGGAATATAACTAAACTTTATTGAACTTATCAAATAATTAAATGTTGCTGTACAGTTGTTAATACTTTCTCTTAATTTTCGTCACTGCTTTTCTCTTTTCTTGAACAAGCCTTTTTTCTTTTTTAGATATTCTCATTTTCTCCGACCGGCTGTTTAATAAACTATAACATATACTAACGTTCCACGTATCTCTAATAGTTTCCGTATTTCAAATCAAAATATCTCTTGCATGTTAAATCACATGCATTTCAAGGTATTAGGGTTATCCGTTTTTCAAAAAGAAATATACTTTAATTTTATTTATTATTTGTTTTCTTATTTTAAAAAACACATAAGGAATTATGACATAGTTTTATTGGTTACGTCTACGATGAGTTCTCGTCTTGTGCTAGGGCTAAAGCTAGCGCCAGAGCTAGTTCTAGAAATGGGTGATGAACAGTTTCATTGTAACTGCTTTGTTTAGCGTATACATAATTTCTTAATGTAAGTTGTGTAACATGTTTAAAGCGTTTGTAGATTGAATAATAGACATAAAGGGTAAAGTGTGCGTTGCTTAGTTTAAAATAAAAAATCAATACATAATTTCTACAAATAAAATCACATAATCAACAACAATTTCAAAAAATGTTTAATGTATAATACAAATGACAATTTATAATACAACGGCCTCTCCCGCGAGCACCATTTTAATAATAGTGGATCCTGTTTCGGAGAAAAAAATTAATTTAAAGCAAGTTCCTTGGGAAAGAAACAACTACAAAAAATCCAACATAGAAATACTAGGAATTTCTAAGTTTCATTTGATATAAATACATAAATATCACAAAACATCTGCCGTTTACGTCCTACATATTGAATAAGGGATATTGTCAACATATCTTCATTCAAAAGTATAATTAGCCTTGCAAGAGTTGTTTTTACAATTCAGCGAAATTTCTGTAATGAGGGAAGCCTCTTTTCTACTAGCTTTACGTTTTAAAATCAGACTAGAGAACATGTAATTAAATACATAAAGTAAACAACATTTCAATTATCTCTCATATGGCATTACAAAAAGGAAATGGCTAGGTCCCTCGCATGTTGACCAGCTAGGGAACGACGGGTATAAAATAAATTCCACACAGACACTTGCAACAACAATACGTTGTTTGGGACTCAGTGTCAAAGCCGTGTGGAGTTTGGGGCAGACGGACAATTTACTTAGATTGCTATTTCTCCCCTCAAGCGTAACCTGCAGATTTTTTAAACATTCGGTTTGCATAAACTCGTGTTTACACTTGCGACATGTATCCCAAACACGTGTAGAAAACAAAAACGTCACAAAGAAAATATACATGTTCCAATAACGTTAACGTGTTGCTAAGTTTCTGCCTACTAAACGGAAATGTAAACGCGGTGCAATCAGTGCCACAAACACCACCGACGTGAGACTGCACCTTCCATCCGGTGTGTAATCCATTGCATATACCTGTGTCACTCAACTCTCAGAAAATTTCTTAACTTCCAAACCATCCCCTGAAGATGTTTTATACTCGTAGTCTACATTTACCTGTGGCTCAAATACCCTTCTAGAAAATCTGATTTCATATTCATGTGCTCACCAATCCTCCAATGCGCTTAGACCGGTAACCGGATGCATATCAAAGATTGCACATTTGAAGAATTGAAAACAAGTCTCAGGGGACTTCGCGTTGCCGCACAACATATTTTTCACACGTTCTATTGCAGCATTTCTCAGAGATTCGTCACTGTTCTATTTGGATCTGTTAGAGTTTTTTAGTAAATGACTGAAAAGCCAACACTTGCTACGAGATTCCTTGAAAAAAAGGGTATTGCAGTCACAGACGGGCTGTTACCATACATGTCTAATTGTGGACGGACACTCGAAGATCGGTGCTTTACGTGACCGTTTAATGGACTCGACAACCATGTACAAAACACATTTCCGCTTCTGTATACCTGGTGGCAGTTACGACATTTTCGGATTACCCAAAATCCTAAGTTATTGAGGTTTGAAGAGAATCGACCACTGTCTCGTTTACTTCTAGTTGTTATCTATCGTTGTAGTTACGTATTGATCTGTTACAAACGGTCCTATTGATTAAACTGAGAATCGATGACGTGTGTATTGGTCAGATTGACATTTATGTGACGGGGTGGCCTAGCGTAGAGCGCGAGACTGTTAACTTGAAAGTTATCAAGTAAATAGAACGTTCATGAGTCCGTACAGATACGATGGGTACCTAACTGACATTTGGGAGAGTAACGGCGGCTAGGATAGTGCTGACTACACCGTCCCTTAATATATCGAGGTCAAGAAACATATGAACTCTAATTCATAAACGCAATAGATCGCTATGTCTTAAGGGGAATCTTTACTTACAAAGACATTTGTTAAGAATCATATGATAGCTGGTTATATTACTTAGTGTGTCGTATTATAAAAGGTTGTTATAGTACTTAATGATAATATACATCCTATCTATTGATTACTAAGATTTTAAAACCACAAAGATTTATTTCCTGGTACAACATGTATATCTTAAGTGTGCATGCTTTTTTAGTTCAGTGTTTCCTTTATGTAGGACAACTTTACTAGATTAATTCTAACTTTTTAAAAAATCTTCTCGGTATAATGATATAAGTTATTAAAGTGATACTTTCCGTTTTATAGGCTTTTATTGCCCGTATATATTTTAACTCACTACACAAGTGCTTCACTGTTTATAGATTTCGTCAAAACTTATCAGTTGAGGTCTATAATAGTTTTCCTAAAATACTGTTGAGTATATGTTAATCATTTAAGTGGGTACATGAAACCACTTTAAGTTAATTAAATACTTCAGATCCAAAATTCAACCATGTGCGCTGACTAATCATTAAACAATATAACAATTATATATGCTTTTGTTATAATCTTTTTACTATCTCATATACAAGGTAGGCTATAGATGAAGTACTGTAATCGTGCAAAAAAAAAAGTTTTTTACAGATCTCGACGTTTTACACCTCACTGATACGGAAAAACATAATTTTGCAATCTTGTCCGTATGTCTGTGTGTGTGTGTGTCTGTCCGTGTGTAAACACGATAACTTGAGTACCGTTACAGCTAGGTTGATGAAATTTCATATATAAGTATTTTATCAAAATCGTAGATCCGTATCAACTCTTTGAGCGATTTCCAATAAACGGAAGTGGTACTTTTTCTACTTTGAATTTTTCAAAAGCCTATAACTTGAGTACTATTTCAAATAGATAAATGAAATTTGACATGTAAGTAAAAGATCTAGATCTCTACCTTCTATTAAATTTTGAGTAACTTCTGTTGACAGCAAGTATTAATTTTCGCTATTTCCGATTTCTTAAAAAAACGCATGTAAGTTTATAAAGAACTAATAATATTGCGCACTATTATGCACATTTTGTTTTGGCGTTCGCTTGGTACCCAATTTTTTTTTCTACTAGATTTTATTCTATTTTTAAAAGTTTAAGTAAACAAAAATCATGTATATATTCCGAGTTGCCATCCCACGTAGTGTTATATTAAAATATTCAAGAAAGTTTAGGGGAGATCACTCCCGGTTTATTTCTGCGATTATCGGTAACCAGAAGTGGAACTTATTCTACTTTCAAGTTTTCAAAAGCCTAAAACTTGAGTAGGCCCTACATTTTGAGATAGATTTATTTATATTATTTATGTTTCTTTTTGTCTTTAAAAAAATCCAAACAGTTTCGTCACTTTGCGAATGATGCAATTAGCATCTATTTTTAGATAATACAAACAGAAATTGAGATCGAGCATCTAAGAATAGACCATTAGTAACGCTAACTTATTGCATCAGTCACACTGATGTTTGAATCGCGTCAAATTTTTTTTTGTTACATAACAAATCCTGTTAATTTGTGTCACTTTAGTGAATGTCGCAATCTGCATCATTTTTAACAGGATGCTATTTTAATGAGCCAGGGGTCGTACGCCGCGCCCATGCGGTAGGGTAATCGGGGGAGGGGAGGCTCCTGAGAGCGGGCCTCTATGTCTCTGACACATAGGCGATCACCGAAATGTGTTCTACCATGTTATTTTGGTGAGTGATTAATGTACACTCAAGGTTTACATGCGGTAGTGTAGGTAAACCCGTGGCCTTTTATTTATGATCCAAGCGCAGGCATTGTTTACATTTAAATAACTCATTTTTAGAAAAGAATGTCACACGTCTAAGAACATATGATTTGTATCGCGTTGGTGAAATCCCTGTAATATATTTCGTCAAACTTTCTTCTATCCCCGCGGCAACGCGCGGAGGGGGGGGGGTGTGGGTACGCTAGTATATATATAAAAAGCAATGTATGTTTGTTTTGGTGTGTCTGTGTGTGTCTGTCTTTTATGCATTACTTTGGGAAGTTGTTGTGAATATTTCTGGGGAGGTTTCTGCGGAAAAAATTTTTTCAAATTCGCAGGGGTGGCGCCCCGGCAGGGCGCAATTTTTTTTTCTCTATGTTCGATATATAAAAATAAAAGTCGATTTTGGTTTGACATAGTTCATCCGATAGCCATGAGACTTTGGGGAGTTGATTAAAACACTCTAGGGAAGGTTTCTGTAAAAAAAAAAAAAATAATAATTTCGCAAGGGCGGCGCCACGGAATGGTGGGAATTTTCTCAATATACGGTATATAAAAATAAAAGTCGATTTTAGTTTGACACCATTTATTTGATTAGAACAATTCGAGGAAGGGTTCTGTAAAAAAATTCCTTTTTTAATTTCGCAAGGGCGGCGCCACGGGAGGGTGCGACTTTTCTCTATATACGGTTTATAAAAATAAAAGTATATTTCGGTTTCGCGCCGTTCATCAGCGTACCATGAAACTTTGGGGAGATAATTAGAGCACTTAAGGGTAGGGTTCTGCAAACAAAAATTTTTTTTTAATATTGTAAGGGCGGCTCCCCCCGGGGGAGCGATATTTTTCTCTATACACGGTATATAAAAAATAAAACTCGGATGCGGTTCATCCGAGTGCCATGAAACTTAAGGGAGTAGACGAGAATACTCCCGAGAATATTTCTACGAAAAAGAAAACTAAAGTTTCTTATGGGCGGCGCCATGAAGGGTTCAATTTTCGTCAATACACGGTTTGGCGCCCAGAGTTTTAGAGCGACTATGTTGGCACTTAGCATCCGTTAATTGACGTCCTGCGAGTAAGGGGTACTATTATATTTAGCGGTAAAACTACAACAGGCTTCTAAAAATAACTTTGTAACGCGAGGAAATCCTTCTGTACAGTTTTGTCACCTTGCGAAAGATGAAAAAATAACTTTTTGAACCTGAGGAGCCTACTGTAGAGTTTCGTCACTTTGCGAATGATGCAATTAGCATATTATTTGACAATCCAGTCAGAAGTTGAGATCGAGCATCTAATAATAGATCATTAGTAACGCTAGCATATTGCATCAGTCACACTGATATTTAAAACACGTCAACTAATTTTTTTACGTGTTAAAGAAAAAAATCCTGTTCATTTGTGTCACTTTAGCGAATGACGAAATATATATAGCATTATTAACAGGATGCTATTTGGCAGATGGCGCCTGTTAGTTTCAAGGAGCCAGGGGCCGTACACTGTGCCTATGCGGTAGTGTAATCGGGGGGGGGGGAGGCTCCTGTGAGCGCCCCTCTACGTCCCTGACACATGGGCGGGTCACCGAAGTATGTTTTACCATAGTATTTCGGTGAGTGATTAATGTACACTCAAGGTTTTCATGCGGTAGTGTAGGTAAACCAGTGTCCCGATATTTATGATCCAAGCGCAGACATTGTTTACATTAAATAACTCACTATTCGAAAACAAGGTCACGAGTCTAAGAATATAGGATTGGTAACGCATGGATGAAACCCTTCTTTCGTCGGACTTCTATTCCCGCGGCAACGCGCGGGGACGGACACGTTATTATAATATAAATCTACAAGCACACATTTTATTAGCTAAATCTGTAAAAATGCGCTAATAGTATTTAAGGCAAAAAACAAAGAACATTAAAAAACGCGCTGTTTACTAGCTAAACGTAAATTTTTACGTACCACACACATGGCAGTTTTGAATGTCATCGCTTGGTTGTAATTAAACTCCACCCCATAAAACAGCTGCGAAATATCATCATCAGCACTTAAGTGAAATTCTCTTTCGAGCATGGCGGTCCATAGTGCAAGTGAAGTAGAATTCACCTGTTTCTGTGACCTCCGCATATGGAGGTATATTGTGCTCAGCACTATACCCAAACGCCTTTACTTTATCTAAAGTAACTAAACTTCCCTTTCAAATTTGACGGTCAATACGCCAAGTAAAGAAGAGTTCACTTGTTTCTGTGACCTCGGCATATGAAGAGATATTGTGGTCAGCACTATGTCCAGCCGCCTTTACATTCCCTAACGTGAGTTACGTACCCATCAGAGTTGGGTGGACTCAGGGATTCTCTACTGACTTGAACTCGGATTCAAATTCGAGAATTTAAGTAAGAGGCAAAAAATCCTAATGATATATAAAAATCCCACGTGCACATCCTTTCTCTCTCTCTCTCTCTCTCTCTCTCTTTATATCACATGTTTTCCAGGGCTATGAGATTATCATCTTTAGCAAAATAATCGAGAACTTGAAGATAGTAACGTTTGTTGAAAATATGTCTGCCGTAGTAAATGTAAAAACTACATTTTATTTATGGACGGAAAAAAAATAAAGGCATATTTGAATGTAGAAACACATCTTTAATTTTTGCAACTCTTTTATAAATCACACTTCTTTTTTTCTCTAGCATGAAAACAAACTAAAATGATTTTTTTTCTGATATAATTTTATTTTGATAGATATTTTCCTGATTAAGGGAAGTAATTTATACTATTTTAGTTAGAAATAATTATAATTGTTGTGAAGGTTAATACATTTATGTTTACTAGTGTAAATATGTGAATAAGATGCTAACTGGAAGCTAATGAACCAGATAGTATAACCAAAAATGTACATATATATCATACTTAAAACTCTGTCTCTAAGTTAATCTACAAGGGAAAGCTAACAAACCCTTTCAAATTGAAAACATGAGTGAACAGGAATGAATTCTTTTGCGAATGATATTCTTTGATGGTAATCGACTCTGGATCATGCTGAAGACTACACAAAACGACTAATTCAGAACAACATCATCAAAAGTGTAAAAATGCTAAACTGTTGCGAGGTGGTGTTGGCGGCTAAACTTTAGTAACAGCACCGGTGATATCCAACTTAGTGTTGCCAGTTGCTCATTTATTAAAGCAGCTTAGACTAAGTCCGACACTGTCACTAGTACATTCAATCTTATATTCTATCGGACGTTTAGCCACACGAGGCAACATGTCTCCTAAGACAATAACAGCGGCACCACTGGAACCTTTACATGTTTTTGTAGTGTAAAAGTAACGAGCCCTTACAAGAGTGGGTGTAGATATTAGATCTCTATCAACCCATTCTCCGATAGAAACACACTTGGGTTCTCCGTGTGGATGGGAAACTATGACAGCAAGTTTGTTGTCATCTGGCGAAAGAAAACGATTTGAAATTTTCTTTTCACTTAAATGGTGTCTTTTTAAAGTATCAGAAAGACGATTGCCAAACTTTGATTCATGGGTAACATATTCAATAAGAGAGCCACCAGCATTAATGTCACTTTCAACAACTCTCAGTCCATATAGTCGATATAATGACGATGTTGCTGTGTTGTAACCAATACGAAAAAAACTTTTGCGAGCTTCAGTGTCATCAAACACAACATGTTTAGCTGTAAGCACATAGACCAGATAAAACACTTTACTTGGTGAGTCTTTACATTCAGGACATGGACATTTTACGCCTCTAACGTATATCAAAGACACAACAGTGCCAGTCCCAGTCCTTAATTTTTTTTTCTTCTTTGTATCCCAAACTGGGTATTTAGTATTTGTGATGGGATCAACATCCGGTCTGTCTTGGCTTGTGAAGTTAACATCCACCCTTCCTGTAAGTTCTGCTATGACTTTAATGTATTTAAACACTGTCTGGTCTCGATATTTGTCTGGTAGATTTTTAATTTTAAAGTCATTTGCCTTAATAAAATGTTTAACATGACAATGTCTATGCACGACTGCTGAATTTTCCAAAATTCCATCTGTATTAATTTAAGGAAAACATAATGAGAATAAGTGTTCTAAAATAAATTGTCATTAACATAATGATATAATCATTTTAAACACACACACACACACACATATATATATATATATATATATATATATATATATATATATATATATATATATATATATATATATATATATAATGTGTAAAGGTGTTTTAGCATTACCGATGATCGAAGTTCCTTTACCCGAAGTTAGTTCAATCTGAAATATAATGATTCAACTTTAATAGAGGGTAAGTGACTATTAAGATATTATGAAAATACATACATTATTTCCTTACATGTGAATTACTAGAGATAACTGAACATTATTAGGATTAATCATCAATTCAAATAAACCTCTTTTAAATAGCTGTGCCTATTGGAAGTAGACAGTATATCCACTGAAATTTTGCCTTGTCGTGCTTGTACCGAGATGAACAGGGAAATCTGCAACAAATTTGGGGACGCTATACGATCGTGTTTTACTTCAAAACTAGATGTATTATATTACTTGCAAATCCCATTGGATCAAATTCCAAAATGCTCTTTTACACTCATTTACAAGATCCAAACTAATACAAATTTAATACAAAAGTTTGGAGATTGTTTTTAAACTACTGAAAATTGAGACACTTTAGATATCCACACGTTATTATTTCGCATATTAAGTTAAACAACGCCTTTAATGTTGAGGACACAAAGGCTGTACAGTGGCATGGTGTCTAATGTTAAAAATAAAGGATGACAAGGATATCTATCTGTTGGGAATGCTATAGACAGTATAGAGAACACACAAGGAAAGTAAAAAACATGCATAGTAATACAAAAAACAAAAAGTGTCGTCACATGGAGCATATCCTAGGAAATCCTAATATATAAAAGCCCATGGGTGCACTTCTCTCTCTCTCTGTCCGAAATATTTTTTGGCAACGTCACCAGTATGTTCAGCGATATATGGATAACTAAAAGATACGGACTTTTGATGAAAATAATATATAAAACCTAAATTTTCTTTAACCCTTTATTTACGGAATTATGTTCTGAATGAGATTTTTACTTAAACAATGTGTTACTATATTGCTTTTGGCACATTCAAAGCATATGTCGAAGGAAATTTCGTTTCATAAATTTTTAATGGCCCAAACAGATTTTGGTACTTATAAGTACCGTCAGTAATCTAGGACATTTTTTTCAAAATTTTTTTTTTTACAAAACAGGAACAAACGATACAATTTATTAACTAATAACATGGCAATCATTATAACAATCACTTTTTGTAATTTTCACACATAAATACAGCACAAAAGTATATTTTGAGTACGATTTTAACTGGATTTTCTATCGGAACAAATCTTGGACCTCAAACACAGCAAAAGTAGTCGACATGTCTTGCTCCCTCAATCTTATCCTTGGTTTTTCTGGTGTAGCAACGGTTGCCGGAATGAATATGCTTTTGCTGGAAGCTTCCAATAACTAGTACAATGAGCCGCATAAACGAACAAAAGCATTCAGCACAATACTACTAGTAATACTAGTATAATTGTAGCCTAGTAGAATGTTATGACAAGTCTACACTACAGTGCAAAGTTCATAAATAGAAGTGAGCTCAATGTGTTTAGGATAGCCTTAGTTGATTTCTCTTTTCTGTTTACTGATTAAAATTTACCTTATAAATCTATACAATATGCAGAAGTATGGACTATTACTAGTCTACAGATATACATTATGTAAATGCTAGTTGTTGTAGGCAAGACAGTTTATTGCAGTAATTATAACTAACAAATTAAATCTTACAACTAGAACTAGGCTTTGTTATACAAATGAAGTATACTAAACCGTGTAAACGAGCCTGCAACTGATAAGTTTATTCTTGTTATTTTTTTACTACTAGAAATTAACATGTAATTACAATATTTCTTATGTAAACCACATGCAAACCTTCTTATAAATGTGTAAATAACATTTTTTGAGTGCATTTTGATAATTAATTATCAAGACAATATTTATGTAACTCCACCTAACAAATATGCCATTTTCTAAAAATCCAATAAAAAAAAAAATGACCGTGTGCCCTGACGGTACTTATAAGTCCAGTTGTAAACATCGATCTAATACAAAGACAATTTGATTAAAATTGTATAACTAGAAGTTAAACGCGTTTGCCTGACTATTGAAGGTGCCAATAAAAAATATTTGGGGTTGAAAATTTGAAAAATAAGGTAAAACAAAAGGAAATCAAGAACGTGTGTGAGAAATGTACAGAACAATTGTAAACTACCGATGTAACAAGACATTGAAAAAGCGCCACACTATTAATTTAAAAAAAAACATTGATACCTCCGACTACCGGCGACTCAGGGGAGATAATACTATTAATTACATCAATAATTTTTAAAATTCGTATTCAATTAAAAATAATACAGGCACTAAATTAAAGTGGTACTTATAAAAAAGAAGGACAATAGAAATAAATGCATATTCCAATGTAGAAACACATTTCTAACTAAAGTATTTTTTGTCGTGACATAAACGAAAAAAAAGCAATGACGTCACATGTCACAATGTTAAATTGCGGAAAGAACACAAAACTAATGACGTCATATCACAATTTTAGAACATAAAGAAATGAACTATTTCAATCAAATTTGATTTAGATCTAACAATAAGTACGCTTTGAAATGTATACAATTTTCTCTGCCTAAACTTATAAAATTTTCTTTATCTATTTAGATTCTAGATCTAAAGCTACGGGAAAAAAACTAGACTTAAACCAACCGTAGATTCTAGATCTAGACTATCTAGATATCTATTATATGCCAATTTTGAGTTTCTTTACTAAACTATTTCAGGTCTTTATTATTTTATATAAATGTGTGTTTGTTTATCTACGGAATTGGCTGATTGGGGATACAATTTCATTTCAAATTGGGGCGGAAGGGGGGGGGGGTAAAGTTTCTTACGCTGACTCAGTCTAAATCTACTTAACTTAAAGTACCCGACTTATTCCGCACCTGTGTTGAAGTGCCTAGATAGCTGAGATCATAGTGTAATAGTTCCCATGTAGGAAATACGGGTTCGTATTTTTATATCTATATATATATAAGCAATGTATGTGTGTGTGTGGGAGTGTATGTTTGTCTGTCTGTCTTTTATGCATTACTACACCTCTCATCACATAGCCGTGAAACTTTGGGAAGTTGTTGTGGATATATGTGGGGAGGTTTCTGCGGAAAAAAAAAATTCAAATTCGCAGGTGTGGCGCCCTACCAGGGCGCAATTTGTTTTTTCTCTATGTACGGTTTATAAAAATAAAAGTCGATTTTAGTTTGACATCTTTCATCCGATAGCCATGAGACGTTGGGGAGTTAATTATAACACTATAGGGTAGGTTTCTGTAAAAAAACAAACATTAATTTCTCAAGGGCGGCGCCTCGGAAGGGTGCGATTTTTCTCTACATGTGGTATATAAACAAATAAAAGTGAATTGCAGTGACACTGTTCACACGATCGCCATGAAACTTTGAGAAGTTGCTCAAACTATTCCTGGAGAGGTTTCTGCGGAAAAAAATTCAAAATTCAAATTCGCAGGGGCGGGCGCCCCAGCAGTGCGCAATTTGTTTTTTTCTATATATACGGTATATAAAAATAATAGTCGATTTCGGTTTGACACCATTCATCCGATCGCCATCAAATTTTGATGAATTCATTAGAACACTCTGAAAAGGGTTCTTAAAATATCATTTTTAATTTCGCAAGGGCGGCGCCACGGGAGGGTGCGTTTTTTCTCTTTATGCGGTATATAAAAAGATTAAAAGTGAATTACGGTGACACCGTTCACACGATCACCGTGAAACTTTGGGAAGATGTTGAGAATATTTCCGGGGAGGTATCTGCGCTAAAATCATTTCCAAATTCGCAGGGGTGGCGCCATGGCAAGGCGCGATTTGTTTTCTCTCTATATATGGTATATAAAAATAAAAGACGATTGCGGTCTCACAACGTTCATCTGATAGCCATCAAACTTCAGGGACTTGATTAGAACACTCCAGGTAAGGATTCTGTAAAAAAAGTCATTTTTATTTTCGCAAGGGCGGTGACACAGGAGGGTTCGATTTTCTCTACATACTGTATGTAAAAATAAACGTCGATTGCGGTTTTACGGCTTTCATCCGATCGCCATCAAACTTTGGGGAGTTGATTAGAAAACTCCAGGGAAGGTTTCTGTAAAAAAAAAATTTTTGTTTTAATTTCGCAAGGGCGGCGCCTCGGAATGGTGGGAATTTTCTCAATATACGGTATATAAAAATAAAAAAAAAAAATAAAAATAAATATTGCCATCAAACTTTGGGTAGCTCATTAGAACAAAGTGAGGAAGGGTTCTGTAAAAAATCATCTTTAATTACGCAAGGGCGGTGCCACGAGAGGGTGCGATTTTTCCCTATGTACGGTATTTAAAAAAAAAAAGTTGATTTTGGTTTGACACCGTTCATCAGATAGCCATGAGACTTTGGGGAGTTGATTAGAACACTACTTGAAAGATTTCTGCAAAAAATATTTTTTTAATTTCGCAACGGTGGCGCCCAGGAGTGTGCGATTTTTCTATTTGTACGGCATATACAAATAAAAGACGATTGCGGTTCGACACAGTTTATCCGAGTGCCATAAAACTTTAGGGAGTTGATGTATACTCCCGATAAGTTTTATGGGGTGGAAGACAGTGTTTCTTCCAGACTTTTTTCTCCGGGGGGGGGGGGGGGGGGGCACTTGAAATTTCCGGGGGGGGGGGGCGGTTGACTTTCTTCGGGTGGTGCAATTTGGCTGCTAGCAAAAATTTCAGTTGCGGTCCCCAAAGGCTCACATGGGCCGCTGAGGCCATGTAATACGTTTTATTTTAATAATCAGAGAAACTAACCATGGTTAGATTATTAACTGGGGTGTTTCTTTTTGTCCGTAAAAATCCAAACAGTTTCGTCACTTTGCGAATGATGCAATTAGCATCTATTTTTAGACACTCAATCAGAATTTGAGATCGATCATCTAATAATAGACTATTAGTAACGCTAACATATTGCAGCAGTCACACTGATGTTTAAAACATGTCAAATACTTTTTACGTGCTAAAGAAAATAATCCTGTTCATTTGTTTCACTTTAGCGAATGACGTAATCTGCATCATTGTTAACAGGATGCTATTTGACACGATGGCGCCTGTTAGTTTTTAAGGAGCCATGGGCCGTACGTGGCGCCTATGCGGTAGTGTAATCGAGGGGGTGGAGGTGCTCCTGAGAGCGCCCCTCTACGTCTCTGACACATGGGCGGTAACCTAAGTGTGTTCTACCTGATTATTTAGGTGAGTGATTAATGTACACATAAGGTTTCATGCGGTAGTGTATGTAAACCCGTGTCCCGATATTTATGATCCAAGCGCAGGCATGGTTTACATTTAAATAGCTCACTTTTAGAGAACAAGGTTACGCGTCTAAGAATATAGGATTGGTAACGTATGGATGAAACCCTTCTTCTATCCCCGCGGCAACGCGCGGGGACGGGTACTCTAGTATATTTATATAATTTATATATTCTATGTTTAGATATGAATAAAAAGGTTGCAAGTGAAGTAGAGTGGACCTGTTTATATCTTCTCAGCATATGAAGGGATAGTGGCCCAAGCTCAGCCGAAATATGTGTTTTTAAAAGAGAAAAACAACATAACAATCATTGAACAGCGTGGTTTTAAACGAAATCATGTATGTCTCTTGAATTTAAGTCTCTTAATAAGTGTGTGCATTTATATGGTGTTGTGTTGACTAATAATGTATATAATGTGATTGTAGTTTTTCTAATAGGAATTGTAACATTCGGGCAAGTGTACTTCGGGCCAGGGGCGTAGCGAGGGGGGGGGGGGGGCGGGGGGTGCGGACCGCACCGGGTGACACCATTTAGGGGGGTGACACCAAGGCAAAAATAGCAAAATATATAGAGAAAAACTGGAGGGGGGGTGCTAATCGAAATTTTGAGGGGGGGGGGGGGTGCAAATAAAAAACTTGAGGGGGGTGGGTGCAAATCGAAAGTTTGAGGGGGGTGCAAATCGAAAATTTGAAAGTTTGTCCCTGGGAAGGGTCTCTATGCCTCTGGGGGGGGGTGACACCATTAAGTGCCGCACCGGGTGACACCCGACCTCGCTACGCCACTGCTTCGGGCATATGTCGGTAGTTTAGGAAACCCGTGCCCCAATAAATATCATACAAGCACAGACATTGTTTACATTTACATTCCGTTTTAAAAAAAAAATATACCCCGTTTAAGAATACAGGATTAATAAAGAATTGATGAAACCCTCCTAATATATTTCGTCATATTTTATTTTTGTCTTTAATGCTTTGCTACACGTTTAATCAGGTCGCAATGAAACTTTCGGATGTTGTTGAGAATACTCCTGAGGAGGTATCTGCGAAAAAATAATTTAATTTTGCACGGCGACGACCGTTCGTTATAGAGATTGTGATTGGATAAGAAGTAGTATTATATTAGTATTATAGGCGTTCACTAAATTTAAGCAGGCGCGTCTTACCGTGCTCTGGTAGAATATGATTTTCCCTGGGCTATCTTGGGTATTTTTACAAACTTTTGTTTAACTCACTTCCTCTGTCTGTCGTCAGTCTGTCGTCAGTCTGTCTAGATCGAAACGCCGAGCGAAATTGCAGGCACATCAAACTGACAGATACTGTTCGTAATTGGTACGTGGGTCAAGACATGTAGACAATGTATCATGACATTCAATAGCACTTAATTGGTCGCCTGATTATTTTTTCATAAATTAATTTAAAAGTTGTTCAAATTAGTAGGCAGCCCTATCCAACGACCCTACACGCGTCATTACGTTCAATAGCGCGTCATCACGTTCAATAGGTGCGCAATGGATTTTAGTCATGTAACTCTATTGTTCAAAAAAACATGTAAAGTAGGCCTACTAAAAAAATTCATAAAAAACGTTTTAATAACAAGCTTTTATGTAATAATGCACTAAATAGGAGAAAATAAATTATACACTACTATTTAAATAACTACAAAGGAAAGCGTGGGTCTCTTCGTGAATATTTTTAAATGTATCGAATAGATTCTAAAGTGAACCACGCTTGTCTTTATAGTTATTTAAATAGTGTATAATTTATTTTCTCCTTTTGAGTGCATTTTTACATAAAAGCTTGTTATTAAAACTTTTTTTATGAATTTCTGTAAACCCAGCGGCAACGCTAATCTATATATATATATAATTCTCTTCTGGGAGACGCTAGAAAACAAGCTGTAAGCGTGCTCCCTACCACCCCCACTCCTACATGGTCTGGTGAGCTGTGGTTCACGCCAAATGTTTACATTCGTAGAGCCGGGTTTAGTGACGACTATTAGGGGCAGATAATTTAGTTTGAAACGATTTTAAACGTAGGGGGGAGGGGGTGTAACTAAGTGGAGTTTACTTTAACGGAGGGGGAGGGGGGGTTATCGTCCTTAACGAGCTACTTATAGTGTTTTAAAGAAATATTTTCGGTGGCAGCGTTGGTACTGTCGAATTCACAAATTATGAATTACTGAAAAGTAGAAAAAAAAAACAACTAAATAGCGCCGGGTTGGCTCCTGTGAAATATTTTAGGTCTGAAATAGTTCAGAAAAAAAAGCTCAATTATTTATGGTGTAATCTTAAATCTAGAATCGAGGTTCTACGATTGAAACGACCTAGTAACACAGTCCACTAATCGCTTGCATTCTCGAATTAGGTAATTTATAATAGTATTAAACTCTTATAGAAACAACTGTTATATCATTAAAGCTAGAGCTGAAAGCTAAAATTGTAAATGTAAACATTCTTTATAGACAGTTTCATGGATACTGTAGGCATATTTTACCGCCGTTGATAGAGCTGCATTTTCTACATATATGTAAATTTCGTCTAACTGAAACAACTACTTAATTTGTACAATACTTAAACATGAAATTCCGTCGACATAGCTGTAGCGTTACACAAGTGATCGTGTTCAAAGACGGAAACACAGACAGACACACAGACAGACAGACACACAAACATACATACAAAATTATAAAACTAAGTTTTTCCAACTCAGGGAGGTGTAAATCAATTTTTGAACGATTACAATACTTCCCTTATACTCTGAATACGGGAAAGTAATATACTTACACTTTCCAAAATTGTTTGCTTTGATCAATCTTTCAAGTCCTTCAGGAAACGATTTTTCACTTCTGAAGTTAAACAATAATCGAAATAATATTTTAGTAATGTTGACTATTAATTAAATATTTACGCTCTATGCTTTATAAGCAGTATGGTGGTAAAGCTATTTTTTTAATCTTAGCAAAACATTGTATATAATGTTTAAGGGGTTTTAAGTTAAATAATTAAACTAAACAAGTTGCAGCATTTTTAATTTCCTAAACCATAATGCAGCCTTAAATAAAGTATTATAATTAAATATTAAAGACTATTTAATGCCAAATAGAATTGCAATATGGCAAAAAACAAAGTATCTTTTATTTGGAAAAATAGTGTCATCACAAACATCTGCCATCCTCAACCCCCCCCCCCACCTTTATGATTAAAACCTCTATTGTTGACGGCAGTGTTAAGTCGTAAAAGATACCAAAAATAGTGAGGTCATTGTTAATAGTGCAAACACGTTTACCACGTAATTTATTTTACCACAAAGTGGACAGACTGCATTTATCTCCTTTATAGATGTTATGACTAACACTATAACAAAAGCAAAATTAATCAATAGCGATGAGATTTGGGTTAGTGTTAGGTTAAAAGTGACATAAACACAGACATATTATAAAAACTATCACGACATGGGGTTAGTTTGGGTTTGCGATATGATTGGTGCAAGGGTTTGGGTTCCAGTTCAGGTTTACAATAACGTTAATGTTCCGTTTATTGTAAAAGTACCGGTTTCGGTTAAAGTTAAGATACGGTGACTGATAAGGTCAAGTTTAGAGTTAGGTTAAGTTTGGGTTATAGTTAGAATTAGGATTAACGTTTGGGATAGATAATATTTAATATTACAGGTAAAAGCTATGGCTAAGGCTACGTCAAACGCTAAAGCTACGGTCCCTGTAACGTTCATTTTGTGTGTGAAACCCAAAATTATCATATCCTGAATGAATGTTCTAACTTAAAATTGGTGCAAATAAAATAAATGTAATAGAAAATCAACAACAAACGTTAATTCGTAAGATAGCTACCTTGTACGTTTGTGATTTAAAGTTGAGCGTCTTTGTCTATATAAAAAAATCAGACCTGGAACAGCTATTAACATAAGTAATTATTACAAGTTAGAGTAAATGGTAACTGTTGATCACTAAGAAAGTAAACAACTGAAGTATGGAGTAAAAAGTATAAAGATATCAATCAATACCAAAAAATGTATGTTAGTAATTAAAATAAGCTGTATGGAAACAATTCTTACCAAGCAACGTAATTATACAACTTTTAACAGAAACCACAGGAATCCAAAGCCTTGAATCTGTTTCTAGTCAAAAATTAAATAAGAAAGTATTTTTTTAAATAACAAGATTTACTAAAGAAATAATAATTCATTATTGCGTGTCAACTAGTTTTGCCAAAATGGTAGTTGACTCCGATCTCAGCCTGCGTTTCTGTTTGGATTTGCTTCCACAGCAGCAGTCGTTTGATTTTGAACTTTTCTTTTATAGATGGGCTGCTTTCCCCAGCTATCGAGCCTCATCTACCCGTGGGATTGAGCTCGAGGATTTTCAGTTTAGCAACCATGAGCTTTACTTACCTGACCACGCCGAAACCACCCAACCCCCAACCCCAAATGTTATTAAAATATAATGTATTACAATATAGTTACCTTTGGTTGGTTTTGTTTCTGTTTTGTTTACAGCTGTTGTCTTAAAGTTGTTTACGTTATCTTCCGTTGACGCATTACTGTCTCTTAAATTGTCTAGTGGACAGTAAACATTGACTTGTCTTCCCTGTTTGTCTGTTATAGTGTAGTGTTTCAAATTGTGACCTAAGTAATCTGTCGAAACAAATCGTAGCTGCGTTACTAGTGTTAAAACTGTAAATACATAAATAACCAACGTTTTACGAAGAGCAAAACTTAAGGAATATTTAACCATTATTTATCGTAATGAAAATATTTTTAGTCCCTACTAAGGGTATGTAGCCTATATTCGCCAGAGTTTCTTTTAGGCATCTCTTTGCCTCACTAGTAGAAACGATAGTCCGACCACCAATCTCTCCCTGAAATATTTCAAGTGCCTCTCCCTCCCAACCCCGAAGATAACGTCTGAAAGTAACACCGATAGTGCCTTGGAGGGTTGAGGTTATAATCCAACCCCCTGCCACAATAGAAATTTGTCTTACGTTAGATGATATCTATTTTTCAATTATTATCAATAACATAAAAATAGAATTTCCGGTTTTAAAAACACGCGTACGAGCGTGTGTGTTTATGCGTTCATGTGTAATTGAATTGTAACATTCCCACCGATGACGTAATCCATCCTATTCTACTAGGTGTAATTATATATTTCACTTGCAAATAAGTCCTTCGTCGCAACCACGCCACGTTTAACAGATAGTCAAAATTATAATAGTGAGCGTTTCTAAGAACCTCTTCTTTCTTATTAATTCTATTGTTACAAGTGATTCAGTCCAAAACAATTAAGTATCACGTGTCAACTTGTGATGCACCATATAGGCCGTTGACTCCGATTTCAGCCTGCTTTTCTTTTGTGTTTACATTTTGGTTAGTCTTTGTCCAACCAACAACAAACTACAAATCAGTAGTTGTTTAATTTTGGAGTTGTCTCTCCTAGAAGATTTGTTGCTATCAAGCCTTATCTATCCGACGGTTTGATTTCGAAACTTTTCGGTTTAGCAGCCATGGCTTCACCAACGCGACCACGATGCCCTTGGTTCTAAGCATCAAATTATATTACTCTGTAAATATATTTTTCTGCGCATTGTTTTTCTTACTCACAATGAAACGTCAAATTCGATAATATGCGTTAATTGTAAAAAAAATAAACAAATATAAATAACCTTTATATCAACAATCATTTAAATGATTAAAAATATAGTGTCATATAGCGAATATATATATATATATATATATATATATATATATATATATATATATATATATATATATATATATATATATATATATAACGCCTTTTTCTCGGCTCGTCGCTCCCCCTAACCCGAAAACATGTATACGCCTCAGGACCAAAGCTTTTATGTAACAAAGCTATAAAGGATTTTTGTTATATGATTTACTTTCCACTATTTAGTGATTCCTAATTTATTAAGTCTAAAACTATTTGCTTTAAAACACCAACTTTAATTCGTGATAACTAAAATAAAATAAAAATTAGATAGACTTGTATTGTCATCGAAGTGGATCATATCTGGAAAGTTTGAATGAAATCGCTGCCTTAGAAGTTGATAGAAATGCTTCTTCTTCTTCTTCTTCGTTCTTAATTATTAGTGTTGAAGGGGATCGAGATTTATCTGCCAGTGCGTTTGAACTTGAGACTTTTTTTGGAATTTATCAACCATGAGCTTTTTGCCGACTCGACCACGCCTCCAACACAATTAAGCGTTACGTGTCAACTGGTTATGCGCCATTGAGGCCATTGACTCCGATTTCAGCCTGCTTTTCTTTTTGGATTTGCTTCCATAGCCTTTGTTCAACCAAAGAACAAACTACAAGGCAGCAGTTGTCTCTCCTAGAAGAGTGGCTGTCCCCAGCTAACGAGCCTCATCTGCCCGAGGGTTCGAACTCGAGACTTTTCGGTTTAGCAACCATGAGCTTTACCGACTCGACCACGCCGACCCCGATAGAAATTGAATCACAAGATTTGCCACAAACCTATACACAAACAGACAAACATACATTGCGAACTCAATAAAATCTTTAAAAAACTGAAGTGATCAACAAAATAATTTATGTAAAGCCATTTTTAACGACTTATAAATTTTAAAATTAAACATAACATTTATTCGGTTATTGTATCGTTATATAGTAATAACACATCGACACCAGAAATTTGTTATTAATTTTTCTAGAATTCTAAACTGTTAATCGTATAAATGTAAATTTACATTACCTATTTTGAAAGAACTCGAATAATTTGATCCAGCTCGCAAATTTTCAGAGTAATTTAAATCTTTTGGGAAGAAATTTACGTCAAATCTTATAAACTCATTTACTAAAAGTTCACAAGGAATGATTGCTAAACACGTTGACTTGTAATAAATTGGCTGCTCTTTAACGCCAGCGTTAGTATACACAGCTACAATATATTGTGGTTTTGAGTCCTGAAAATACAAAATGTAATATTGTTTCCTTAATTTTTCACAACGTATACGAAGACATTCACTCCCTTATTCATACACTCACATTAACCAACACACACACACACACACACATACATATAATCATGCAAAATAAAGAAAATGCAATGCACTATATAAATATAAACTTATATACAGTGCATTATATAAAGTGCACTATATATCATTTTATTATATTATTTTTAAAAAGTTTAAAAACATCTAAATATTATTCAATCGTACTTTTAACAATATATCAGTTTCATTTGCTACGCTGATGAACGAGTTGGCGGGCACGTGGGAAGACCGAGCTCCTGTAGTGCTGAATTTCAGTTGTAATTTGGGGAATGTTGTAATAAAGTAGGTTGTTTTTTTCCTACTCATTCCGTGTTATTCATTTTGTGAAGTTTCTATACATGGGAATTAGTTTTTGGTCTTAATTGTAATTAATGTCGATATTAGGTCTTGTAACACACCATTCGAGCTTCGATGTTGAGTGGGTCGTTTGAAAAAGCTTGGAGCTGTAAGGCTTAGAGTTATTGTAGTCCAGGATGGAAGTTTAATGTGACAGTGTGAGTGCTTTGGAGTAGCATATTATAAGCAATAAACATGTTTGCTTAGTAAATTTTAAAATTAATTTTCATAATTTTAAATAACGTAAATTTTTCACGCTTGTATTATCGTGACACGGATATACCGGCTCAGAAGTTTTACTCCCATTAGCCAGGCAGGTCAGGCATAGAGAACTCAAACTAACTGGCCACTTGTGGACTGAAGCAGTCACACGAAGATGTTCGTTTTAAACACTATGTGTTGGTCGATTATTCATCAGTAGGCTCTCGCCAGGCTTTTCTTCCCCCACCACCAGGCGCGGGAAATCGTCCTACCGTCTGATACCCAGCTTGATCGCGGGAGGTGTTCGGAGAATTTCAAAAACAGGCAAGTATTTGCTCAGGCGGGCGCTGTTGACCGTGTCGGGGGTCCAAACCCCATTCGACCCACCGGTATTATAGCTTCAACTATTTACTTAAGGAATAAGTTTACACGTATAAAAATGGCACAAATGTAGACAAAAATCGACATTAAACTTACTGTGCCCTTTTCGATGGAACTATCGGACACATTTAATTGAAACATTTTACTGGTGTACGTAATGAACATTTACTATTTCAGTACAAATGTAAACTCTTTAACATGTTACTCATATTATGTAGCCGTATAATATAGACTCTTATCAAAACTACCTTTGTAACTTGAACGTTAACAGTACAAGCCATTTCTGGATAAGACATTTCACCAATACATTGTATTTGTAGTCCTTGGGTTACGCTCGCATATTCACAGTAGATATCTGTTGGTTTTCCTACAGTAATTTTGTTTAAAAACATTGTCATCATAGTAGTTGCAATAATTCAACATTACGTCAATATGCATATCGTAACCATACAATAATAATAATAAATGCAGACAAAGTTGGCTAGTCCCAAAATATTGAACAAAACCTACACCTGTATCTTTAAACCTATCAACCCTTTGTAAAATACTGCTGTGATTTTTATCTCATTCCAAAAACTTGACAGTATTGTTTTTATAGTAAGAGAACTTCACAATATTGGACTAGACGAGACGTTGTAAATACAATTTGCTATCTTATTATTTCATGTTACTCATTTGTTTGAATAGTTTCTAATCAATCTGTAGCACTGTATTTTCTCTATTTTTATTGAAACATGTAACATGAAAATTAATTATGTCAGAATGGCGCATAGCTGCTAACCCGAATGCCCCGAGTTCAAACCCACGGCAGAAGAGACTATTTTACAAAATATAGAAGAAGAATTCACACAATGTGAAATTTTACTCACTAAAAACTGTTAAATCACAAGTAAGAACAAGTTGAGGCTCATTTTTTTTGTTATAAACTTTTAAATTCCATGTTCCTTCCACAGATGATGATCTCGATTGTCGACTGATTTTAAGAAATATGAGGCTCAAGGTAATAGATCCATGTTCATTGTGTGTTGAAAATGAAATATACTGAGCAAACTGTGGATAAATGTTACAAGGGATGCTAACTATATTATAGCACGTCATTACTTCGTTATTGTCATATTCCCAGGAAAATACTATATTTGCATCTGGCTCATCTGGTACTATGTATGAAATGTTACACTGCTTGTTTTCTTCACAGGGTTCACACACATGTTCTGAAAAAACAAATTTTGAACAACCAAAATAAATAATTGAGTTCCTCTAGTGTTGAAAAAAAAGTTATTAATATTTAAATAATAAAATACATGTGTTTTTTTTAATACATACCAGATCCTTTACAAAGTATGTGATAATTAGCCATCAATAATAACAGCAAATGTATTGTTACCTAAGCAGATAAAATATATAAATAATGATAGGCTTGTAAAAATGTGTGTATATATGTATATATATGCATATATATATATATATGCATATAGCCTACATATATGCATATATATATATATATATATATATATATATATATATATATATATATATATATATATATATATAGTTATATATATATATATATATATATATATATATATATATATATATATATATATATATATATATGCATATACATATATTCATATATATATATATGACATAATGTATCAATATGTATTTTACTATATACACAATGTTATATATTTATTTTTAAAGAAAATTAATGTAAATAAATGCCTATCTAATTAAATAACTAGACATCAGTTTAGACGAAAAAAAACAACTTAAGACATCTTCTGAAAATAATGCAGATCGAAGTCTGCATTTAGACGCACAGCAAAACGTTTCGGTGCCAGGGGTGAACTAGTTTTTTTTTAAGAGAACCATACACTAGATACATGGTTTCCTTTAATTAAGTGATAAACCGAAAAATGTTGTTGCGGACAAAGCCGCTCCCCAGAAACAAAGTCTAATAAATATAGCGCCGGCTTTGTTTATAACTCATTTTGCAAACATAGATACACTTCTAAAACTACACGATTTGTAACTTGTTGATGAAACTCTTATTAAGTTTCCCGTCACTCTTATGTGAAGATGATGAGTTGATGTGGTTTACGTAAGTTTGAACTTAGCAATAGTTTGAATTTTTAATAAAATCATTTTACTTCCCGTTATGCAACTGAAGAGGTACATTAACTTTAATAATTGTAGATTCTACGACAACATTAGGAATCCTTGGGGCTTTTAAATAAACATCTGATATATTATCTCAATATAACAATAAATCATTTTTTAAAAATAAAAGATGTATACATTGCCCGTTTTTCTGTTACCTCTAGTAGTTTTCTGTATTCCATGTAAGTATATATAAATATGTAATGTTTTCTTTAATTAGTAACGAATAACTATTTTTAAAGAGTTGTATTTAGTAATCTGTGATAACAATTTTACCATACATTTTGACGTTAATCTACAAGCAAGATTTTTCAAGAATTGCGTGTAGTTTTGGAATTAGAACTCAAACTCCTCTACATATTTTATTTTTTACAAAGATTAAGTGAATAATCTGGATTTTAAATAAACTAATTATTTAATTTACGTTTAATTCTAGTGCACACAGATTAAAAAGGTTTATGCATCTAGTTATTGTATGTGAGGAAATGGATTTATTAGAGTAGGGATGTAAGGAACATTTTTGGCTATGTGAAAGAAGTATATGATAAAAGAAACCATTTAAATCAACCTCATTTAATAAACCTAATCAGAAGTGATTTTGCTTTAAGGGTCACAATTAATACCGCTACCAAATGACCACAGTTCTCAGTACGACTCAAACTAAATCTATCACCTCAATGTCGTGTGCTTTTGACTTTGCAATTATGATGATAACTTACCACAATTATTTCATTCTTATACATAAGTAATATCTAAGCAAAGATGCAGTTTTGAAATTAATTATTTAATTTATGTTGTAATGTGGAACTTTATTTTCCTTGTTTAAATTCGGAATGTAATAATCGCATAGAACTTTATTTATATGAAAGCGTTTTGAAAATTCATTGTTTAAATGTGATTTACACAGTTTAGCATAAAAAAAATTAAACCGGGAGTGATCTCCCCTAAACTTTTTCGAATATTCTTATACAACACTACGGGGAATGGCAACGCGGGATATAGACATGATTATTAATCCATGTTTTAATTACATAAACTTTCTAAAATAAAAAAGAATCTCGTACAAAACAATTTGTGCACCAAATGAACGACAAACCATATGTGTATAATAGTTTGGAATACTATTAGTACTTTATAAATTGACATGCGTTTTTTGAGAAATCAAAAAAAAACTTAATTTACAACTTCTGTTCAACGGAAATTACCCAAAAATGGATGTAAGGAAAATAATTAGATATTTTAATTACACGTGAAATTTCATTTATCTATCCGAAACGGTACTAAAGTTTTAAGCTTTTGAAAAATTGAAAGTAGAATAAGTGCCACTTGCGATTACCGGAAATCGCGGAAAAGTTAATGCATAACTACACATTTGAAATTATACTTATATATGAAATTTCATCAGACTAGCTGTAATAGTACTTAATTTATCGTGTTAACAGACACACACCCACCCACACAAACACATACAGATATAAGTGCAAAGCCCTGTTTTTCAGACTCGATTAGGCATAGAAAACCGAAATTTTGATCAATCTGCATTTATTATTTTTGCCCGATTTAAAGATGTCCCCTATACTCCGTATATGATGAAGTACTGATGTGTAAAACGAAGAAAACTGTCAAAATTTCATGTGATTTGTGTGCACGATTACAATACTTCCTCTATACACTGTATACGAGAAAGTAAATATACTGCTAACATTAATCTTCCCAACACAACACAATTTCCGTCAGTGGATTTCACGATCCTCGATTCACAACCATCTTTCTGATATAGTGTTTAATAACTCTGGTTTATAGACATGTTAACAATGATTCCGGCCCTTATATCAGTCATTTCTCACGTATGTTACCCGTTAGTTACATCCAACAACCATTCATCACCGTGTCAAAAGTAAAAGAGCGACAGTAGTATTCTATTGAAGTTTAATACGGGAATAACATCCATTTAAAAAAAATACCCATTATAGAACCAAACATGTATAATTACTTAAAATAACAGCAATAACTAAGAGAAGATAAATTACGCATAATTTGATGTATATAAGATGTTTTAATTATGTATCCTACGTATATCCCGTAATTTGAACTCCTTTTTATTTACTTTTACGATAGTTTTATAATACATTATGTTGGAAATATAGAAGGTAAATAATATTAATATAAGTCATGTCATTGTAATGTTTTTTTCTTTATGTAAATATTTTTTTTGTTTTTAAATTTCTTTTACTTAGCCTCTCCGTTGAAGGACCTTGTTGTTATTAGTCAAATCCCGTGCAACAATGCTACATTTAACTACAGTGTTATAATACAAGTCGAATTCTCAGCAGAATCTGAAGAGCTAACAGCAATTTTTTTCCAAACTAGTGAGACAAATGATATGGGCACTAAGAATTTGTTCAGCGTAAATATCTAATTGTTTCTTATAATTAAAATCAAAATGCACTGATCCAATTATATATTTTTTTTAATTCTGAGATAAAAATATGAATCTGGTTATCAATATTTTTGTACAAAAGGCATTCATGTTTTCATGTTCTAAATATCTCAAGGGAATTAATTCTTTTTTTTAATAAAAAAGTATATCGCATTTATCAGATATGCAATCACCTTATATTGAAAGGCAGATGTACAGTAGCACACCCTGCCTGTTTGTGTAAAGATAAAAGTAACTATACAGTCGAGTTTATATTTAATCCAACAAAAGTAAATGAAGATACGCATCTAATAACAACGTTTGGTAATTCTACACCACTGTCTAAAAAAGTTTGCAGTAAGTTATAAATTTATCACATTAAAGTATTTTGTAATACATGAATTTTCAAAAAAATAAGAAATCATCTAAATTTTGAAATTATTCTATTATAACTGTACTATAATTTATTAGACACGATAAAACATATCAACAATGAGAACTCCACAATCAATATTCCAGCTGTTAATGCCACATATTATAATGGTAAGTACATTAAAACAATAAAAGAAATGTGTAATAGTTTAACATAAATTGAAAGAGTTAAAAACTTAAATAAAAGAAATACAAAATCATTTGTAATAAAAATATTTTAAATGCACTGAAATGTTGTTTTAAACAAACAAACGTGTTTTCTTAATAAAAGCGTGGTTGCTCGTGAGAAACTTTTTTTTTGGAACTTTTTAATCTGTCGTTTGAAATAAAGTTTACACTGCGTAGTCAGCAAACTAAAAAACAAAAATGCTTTAAAACCCGATCCGTAGCTTATGATTTAAAAAAAAAAAAAAGTTAACTGCCCTTACTTAGTTCGTGGTCGACGGTAAAGTGAAAAATCACCTAGTCGTAAAAAACATAACGTGCCACATCTCACCAACAAACAAAAAAATAAAACAAACAAAGCGGGAGTAGTCTCCCCTAAACTTTCTCAAATATTCTAGTATAACACAACGAAGATAGGCAACTCGGAATGTAAACGTGATTTTTAATCAATTTTTAATTACTTCAATTCTTTAATTAAATTGAATTGAATCTCGTAAAAACAATTCCGCACCAAATATAGAGCAAACAATGCGGTTATAATAATGAGGAATATGAGCAGTTTATAAACAAACATTGATTAATTTTCAAAGTGTTAAGTAATCGTCTAATTAAGTGACATTATATGTCAAAATACAATGTCTTCAAGTCTTGACCTACGTGAAAACTTTAACTCGGTCCGGTAGAAATGTTCAAGTTTTTGTCCCCAATTTCTCGACCATGAAGGACAAAACATAAGGAATGAAATTAAAAATAAATTCAAGTGCGTTTTTTAGAAATCGTAAATTGCGTAAAGTACTACTTCCATTCAACGAAATTACTCTAAATTTGATAGAAAACATGATTAGATATTTTAATTACATGGGAAATTTCGTCTATCTTATCGAAACAATGCTATAGTTATGGGCTTTTGAAAAACCGAAAGTAGAATAAGTTCAACTTACCGGAAATTGCTGAAAAGTTTATACAGAACTATTAATTGACAAAGTACGTATGTACGAATATTGCAAACCCCAGTTTTTCTGACCCTATGACGCAAAGACGCTGAGATTTCGATTAAACGGTGAAAACTGTCAACATTTCATGTGATTTTTGTGCACGATAACAATACGTCCTACATACTCTGTATATAGTAAGTAAAGATAAATCGTGTACGAAATAATAACTTAAAAGAAAAGATGACTTATAATTTTTTCAGAAGAAATAAT